CTGGCTTTACAAATGTGCAACCTGTTGGAAATATGTATCCTTCCAGTCGACAAATTTATAGTCTGCAAGTTCAGCGATGCTTTTTGGATTCCACGATCTTTTGTATTCGCGACGGATCTCATCACTAGTGCTGTAAAACTTGCTTGTTTTTCGACAAAAATTCATGTTTTAAAGCTGTACCTGTAGGCAAGGACAAGTCGCTGTTCGAATTCGATAAGACTTCTGATTCCTTCTTTGAGCTCAGATGGATCTTTAGAGATTCCCTAAATTTTCAACTCTTTGCTCTCATATAGTATTCCAAGGATGTGTATGAAATTTGCAAATGTACCTGAGCTTTCGCGAATCGACTGACGACTGCTGTTGCGGTGTTAACGTAGTTCTCTTTGATTGTCTTGAAAGCGTCTTCATCATAATAGGTTTTACTAAAACAAGTTTTCAAGCACGTCCATGATTAAATTAACATAACAAAGTTTGTTACTGGTTTACTGGCCGGGTCACAATAAAGAAGTTCTTCGACCGCTTTTTGCGCAATCAGAAAGATTATTACATCTAGAATTCTTATAGACCTCACCCACTTCAATACTTGGGTTTTTTGCACGATTTACAACGACCCATGCGATATATGAGTAACGCATGCACGACAGTACCTTCATCAGCAGTTTGTCGTGGAATACTACGAAATGCTATTCTCGATTACTTACCCCATATATGCAGTGTTCTTACTTACCCCATATATGCAGTGTTCTGATCGAGGAACATGTAATAGCCCTTGTTCGGTTCAGGCCAGTTGGTATCAACCATTGGTGTAACGAGTGTATCGATACCCTGAAAACTAAAAGTTGAAGCACGCATTACCGTATTTCCAAGGCCCTTGCCTGATCGAATGACAAATAGCCCAACGCATTCGCGAGTTGCCTGGGATCTGGTAATGCGAGCACATCTCCACCGTAAACTAGAGTAAAGCCATACCCAAGATAGTGTTTCAATTGTTCAACCTGGATGGTGGCTCTCAGTCCTATTGCAACTTTTGAGATAAAATTGAAGACTGACCCTTGGTTTGAGATAATTCTTGGTGACTAATATCTCTTCACTCGTGCTTGTGTTCCAAGTAGCTTTGACGCATTCGTCCGTAAACATTTTAGCTTTTTTGAGAGCTTCGGAAGCCTGGAAGCCCGGCGATGATAGCAAGTACCCTTAGAATAAGAAGGAGACAACCTCACCTGGATTTTACTATTGTAATCAGGATCGTACAGTTTGTCTCCGATGTGCTCCAAAATTTTTGCCCTGGCCAAACTAAAAGATACCTGAAAGATTTTACAACATTCTCATGCCAATTCAAAATAAGTTTTAAAGCATACAGCTTTATCGTAGTTTCCGCAAGCGTATTGGAAGAAG